GTGGACCTGTCTTCAGGAAGCCCACTGTCTGGACAGGAGGGGAGATGGGAGGGACTGGTGCGGGGCGGGGGTCTGTGTTAGGCTCTGTGCCTTCAGGCTCCCAGTGGGAACTCTGTTGGAGGAAGCCGGTTTGCTGGTCTACCAGAGCTCACAAGATGCTGACTCTTGTCTGAAGCACAGACCACCTATCCTATGCTGACAGTGGTTTCAATGCCTCCCACTTCTGTGAAGCCCCGTGTAGACCACTCAGTTTTTACACTGGAGCCTCACGATCTTTCAGGAGTGTTGACCAGTTTGTCATATTTCATTTGGGGAGTTGGGTCTTTTGGGTTTGACTTTCATTCATCTCTATGGTGGTTATCTCTTGAAAACCTTAATTTGGGTTGTCTTTAGAATCAGCCATGATTAGATTTGGGCGAAGCTTGGAAGCCATCGGCTCAATCTCCCATTTCAGAGGTGGGACACCAGACAGGGAAGGAAGAGCATGCTGTGTGCCCACCAGGATTCTTTTCTTTCTCTTCCCTTCCTCCCCACTCCTTCCCCTCTGTCACGCTCTCCTTCTCACAGTTAAATTTATTTAGCACTTACCATGTGTCAACCACTGTTCCAGACACTTAAGAGACATCAGTGAACAAAAGAGACAAAACTCCCCCAAAGCCCTGCTTTCATGGGCTTTATAGTCTAGGAGAGAGTGACAACAATAAAATAAACACAATACGTGAATGACTCAAATAGCACTCTGGAAGGTGGTGGGTGCTGTGAGAAGTGAGTGGAACAGGAGGGAGGGAGTCTGGCAGCCACAGCAGGAGGGAAATGGGGTGCCTTTTGGGGTGAGATGGTCAGGAAGATGCAGTGAGACAGGGTGCTGTTGTGGCTGCTCTCATACAAGGAGCCAGGCCCCCGGCTTCCCTGGTGAGTGTTCTTCCTTCTCCATCTCCCTCTGGTCACTGGCAAAGGCTCCCCACCAACTGCTTTCTCTCTTTCAAGGGGAAGCACCACAGTGGAGCGGGGAAGAGTGGGATCTGAATGGAGAGTCCCTGGTCTGACTCCGACTCCCACACTCACACGCTCTGGGCTGTGCCGCTTCCCCACTGGTCCAGTGATGGCACCACCCACGTCTCGGGTCTTAGGGGGTGACGGGAGCTAACTTATATATGGCACATGGGATAGCGCCTTGAACCTGGGTGCAATTGAATCTATTAAATAACCTGATTTCTCGTTGACATGATACTTCCTCTATTTTCCTATGTTACTAGAGCAAAGAATCTTCAAGAAAACATTTACTGGTAGAACAAATCCACAAGCCTGAGCTTAGCAGAAACGCTGTAGACTTTTGTTCCTCCAAAGGGGCCACACAAAACCTGAAAACGGGTTCCTTGGAAACAAATGAATGTGCGCTTTGAAGCCTGTTGAAGACGGAGCCTAGGAATGTGAGTGCCCCCAAACATCCACGCCGTCCACAATGGTTTATTAGTTTTCCTTGCTTGTAAAGGAAATCTCTTCATAGGCCACTGACCAGGGCTACCTGATCTCTTCTGATATTGACAGATCATGCTACAGGACATTCATCCCGAAACCTTTGACCAGAAGTAACAGAGCCTTTTTATGGTCGAAGCCGACCGGCCTGTTGGTACAATGCACAGTTGGAGAACACACACAGCACGTACCCCAATGATAAAACACGCGATTTCGTGGGATGTACTCTGAAGAGGCAATGCAACATCGGCTTTCTTCTGCACTCTAGCAGGCCCAAGATTTTCAGCAGGCTCTTGGGGGTGGGGTGGGGTGGGGCGGGGTGGAGACATTAGTCCATTCCTTCAGAAATCCACAGCCTGTTTTGGGTTGAATTTTGTGTCTTATGCCATCCTCTGCCATTTGTCTGAGGGAAGGCATAAAAGCAGTCCCCCGCCCCATCCCCTACCTTACAACATCTTGTTCCACGTGGACTGGGAGGCAGCCCTGGTTAATAAAAATACTTAGTTTACAGACGGAAGCCCTCGGATCTAAGCTCGTTGTTCATTAGTTTCAACCTTGGCACAGGAAGGTAACCGCCTGTGGCTCAGTTGTCATGTCTGTAGGTGGACTGGGTTGGAGCTGGTAATCCCAGTGCTGAGGGTGGACAGTCATTGATCCGTAGGGATGGCTTGGACCGCTGCACTGTCTGCAGGGTTTGTGCACACTCTCCATTCGGAATCCCAGACACACATCTCCACACACCAACTCTGTGGCCGAGGGCAAGTCACTTCCCTTTGAACCTCACGTTCGTCCTCCCTGAAACAACAGTAACAATCACCGAGGTTCTTACTGGGATCAAATGACAGAAAGTGTAAGAGGGATGGGTGGCAC